CATGGAGACTCTCTCTGAGCCGTACAGCCTGCAGGTGGAGGCGGAGGAACGACAGCCTGGTATCTTTTTCAGATATTACACAAACTGTAAATACACTGCAGGCGTTTCTCTAATGCACAGCAGAGGGGGCTGATGTCAGTCAGTAGAGCACTTTATAGAGCTGACAGATTCAAGCATACTTCTATTCGTTCATGGATATTCGGTGTAAAGTAGCCAGAGTGTGAAAGATAAAGAAGGAGTGAGCCTCTAAAAATGAGCTTCAGCTGCTGTTTAAAACAAACCACTAATTCAGCCGTTCTGATGAAGACTGTTTCAGAGGCGCCACAGCTGGAAGCCTGGTCACCTCTGGATTTAAACGCAGAGTATTGAACAGTTAAAACGCAAAGAGCAACAAGGTCTCAGCAGGTCTGTTATGTGGGGAGGAGTCGGGCTTTGCAGGGATATAAATGCAATTAAAATATTTAAAAACATTTGAATTTCCACAATAAGCCAATGAAGGGAAACCAGACTGGTGTGTGAGGATTTCTAGATATCGTCATGATAAATCATATGGAAAACCACAAACAACGTAACCATAAATGATGCAAAAACAAATAAAAGTTTACAGTTTTTTGGAGAAAAAGGGGATTTTTGTCTAGTCTGTTTCTTTATTTGTAAATTTCTTTATGAATTATTTCTGATTTTTACAGTTGATGGTAACCTGCCTCTGATAGTCGGCGTGGTGTCGGGTGTCCTGCTGGCTGTCATCGCATTCATACTCTTCATCTTCATCATCAGAAGGTACAAATCACACTTTATGTTTCTTCTACATTTAAAATTTTTAACATTTTGTTGGTTTTTAATGTGTAAAGAATCGTAAAGGACACACACACACACACACACACACACTGCAAATTATATTTTTTGTTTTATTTTATGAGTGTTATTTTAATGATAATGATCCCAAAAAGTCACAGGAAACACAGACGTGTGTGACATGTTTTGTGTGCAGAAAGTTTTGAACATGAATGGAAACATATCAGAACTATAAACATGAAGTATTGATTACTCTGCATTTTTTTTTTTTTTGCCTGTCCCGTTTGGCTCTTTTGCCATCAGAATTGTTGTCTAAAGGCAAAGAAAGATGCCCAACGGATTTACTTTACCAAATTGACCATCCCAGCCTTGCCGTAATGGTCCATTTGATTCACCTTTTATTGTTTATTTTATTTTCACTTACTGAATACGGGACAGACTTGACTGGAGGAAAGAAGGGGAGAAAGAAAGAGGGAAAGAGAAACAGCTGAGAAGAGGGACGGGGGAGAAGGGCAAAAGACAAAAACCAACAAAACGGGCAGAGGAAAAAAAAATGCATATATCAATCACCTGGATCACCTGCTGAGAAAGAAAAAAGAAAACAAGCAGAAGAGAACAAGAGTAATAGAATAAACAACATCACAATGATATATGGGAATATGACAGTAAATACTAAATATTAAACATTATTGTGCAGCACATAAGATCAACAGAACACAGTGTGCTTTGAGGTAGGAGCCAAAAAGGGTGTAGTTTGTGGGTGTGATCACCCGTGTGTACACCTGTGAGCATGGACGCGCTTGTTTTTTTTAAAAGGTTCCTTCATGTAATGATCTGCTAGAGGGTGTGGGGGGGCCACAGCCCCGTCCTCCAGGGCATGAAGCAGGTATGGAGGAGATCAAAACTCCGCCCATCCCCGGACACAAAGAACCACCAACGCACCGATGTCTGAGGGGGTCCGCCACTGGCAGGGGAAGTGGTGGTAGGGGGAGATAGGCCTCCAAACCTTGGAGGGCCTGAGATGTCCCCAGAGAGGTGGCGCCTGACACCCAACCTGACATATAGACACAGACATACAGGCACACACAGACACAAACATCCATTCCCACCCTCATGCTCTCATATGCACTTACTCCACACTCAACCAACGCCTGCATTTTTAAATAAGTCATTTCTCCAAATGTAAGTGCGAGAAGCAGCAGCGAGAACTGTCAACTCTGCGTTTATTTTTACACAAGCATTGCAGCTCTGAACTGCTCTAGGATTTCCTACTTCTGAGTTATGATAGTAACGTATAAAATTAAAGATGTTTAAAGCACACTTTTACACAGAAATCATACAAATCGGTGCATAAACTTTCACCACAGTGCAGAAAAGATATTTTGGGTTCAAAATGTTCTAAACCTCGATCTGAGAAGATGAATTAAGTCTGTTCATTATTAAACTTTTGCACAATGAAAGAATCTGTTGTGCGTAACAGTCAAAAGAGAAGCAAGTATCCAAGAAAGAATTACATTAAATTATTGTTATGTGCTGATGACCACAACGGAGGAGAAGGGGAAGCGAAGCTGGTCTCTGGCACAGAATTGTGATACAATAAGACAAAATAATGTCGAGGCAGCAAGTCAAGGTCAGTTTATGTTTGCTGTGAGTTACATGTGAGAAATGTGGTAAAAACTCTGGTTCAGCACGGCCTCCTGCTCACTCCGTCCGAGCAGCTACTTCTCCTAATTCACACTATTTCCACTGGTGTACACAAAGCAGATAAGCTCCTGCTGTGTTTGTGTGAAAGGACAACCGTGGAAGCTGCCTGAGTTTGTGGGAAATCAGCTGCAGACACACAGAAACAACAAAACACACATAAATGTTTTGGGGTTTTTTTGCATGATAATGCAATTTCTCTTTGCCCCTGATTTTCTACATTCATGATTTTCGATAGATCTTCTGGTTCCTGTTGACATGACAGTCATATTGTTACAGGAAGCTGGCAGCAGCAGAGCATCAGAGAGCTGATGGAGGCGAGACGGAGCCAAAGGTGAGTTATGATTTCAAAGATAATTTCGGACTCTCGTAGAATATTTCATCTTAAATGAGCACAGAGGGGAGATTATGATCTGTCTACGACTACGTGAAATCTAAATGGTTGTCAGTGACTGTAATCCTAAACGTTGGTTTCCTTTAATGGTTCTCCAAAGTCTTTGCAATTAATGGTCAAAAACATAATAATAGTTGATCATAAGATATTGGTTCATACGGTTAGGGATCGGGCCGGGGAGCTCGGCAGTGATGGCTTTACACGCGTCTGTATTTCTGGCTGTTTTCAGCATCCTCATGACATCTACAGCAGCATCCAAGAAGAAAGTCACCGACAGGAAACCAGCCGAGCTGTGGAGGACGTCAGCTACGCCTCGGTGCAGTTCAGACACAGCCATGAGAGGAGCAGGTAGGACCGACAGCTGTTCAGCTCTGAGGATGGAAAGACTTTGCTTGATGCTTGTAGTGTTTTAGATTTTCAGGTGAGAAACAGACACATAAGAAGAAAATCAGAGGAACTAAATTAAAATGAATAAAAGTTACAAACATCATTATTATTTGTTACTTGTTTTTACTTGTTCGTTTACCCTACAAACATAAAACACAGCTAACAGCTAACAGTAGCTACAAACAGCAGTTAATTCTAACTCTTGGACTTCGTGGCTCTTTATTTTTTCACATATGGAATTTTCCAATCATCACAATCAGAATCTTTATTGTCATTGTAGCAACAAAGCATTGAACAACAAAATCGAGACACAAATCTGCAAAAGAAGAATAAAAGAACACAGTAGACTGACTCACCCCCCCCAAGAAATGAGTCCCCCCACCGTGGTATCGTCTGCAAACATTACAGTGGTGTAACTGTGGTGCGGGGGGCTCAGCCCTGTTGGGAGCCAGATGTGGGCGCTCACTCTAACCCCAGATGTTTTTATGGCGCTCATGTGGAGTTTTCTCTTGGTTTTCACAGGCACGTGGAGGAAGTCGATAATGCCGTCGTCTACTCTTCACTAGCCAGTCGAGGCTGAAGTCACAATCTCACCCACAAACTGAAAGGAGCCACACTGACCACAGGAGAAGCTGCAGGAAGCTCTGCAGCACTTTGTGTTGATCTGCTGCAGTCTGACTTTCATGCTCTGTGGTGCAGGCAGTTGGATAAATTCATAAATCTCCTTCACAACCTCCATCAGTACTACAAAGGTATTGTTCTACTGTGATGACCCCGTCCACCCTGCCTGGGGGGCTATGTGTTGGTTTGGCAGCTGCTCCTTGCAGGCCCTGCAGAGGAATCGTGCTTTGTTCAAGATCAGCATCACTGGCAGCATCTAAGCTCGACGCGTCTCTACTGAAAGCTCAGTTGTTATGCGTGTCTGCCTTCTGGGTTTTGGTTGCTGTCTGGTTTGTTTTCTCACACTATGAAACATCACATTCACGTACAGTACTGAGTGTACCGAGCTCTGTTGTCAGGGCGCTCAGTCTGTGACGCAGCAAGTTTATTTTGTATATTTGATTTCTTATGATGTATCAGAGTAATGGTAAGTTCGTGTGTTGTTATTAGTGTGTCTTAGTTAGGTTTGTTTAGATACAATTTCATCCATGCTCCCCTGTGTGTGTGTTGTTTTCTGTTTCCTGTGAAAGCCTGTCTTGTCCTCCTGCATGATTTTTAGTTATATCTGTGCTTCGTTCCCCTTATCTGTTTCCATGTTCCTCTCCTTGTGTATCATTCAATCTTCCCAGTCTGCTTTATGCTTCATGTCTGTGTTTCCCACGTCCAATTGTCAATCAGTCTTGTGTTTCCATGTTCAGTGTGTTTAGTTTTGCTTCCCCTGTGGCATCGTGTTCATTTGTGTCAGCTGTGTTTCCAGGTGTTTCCACTTCCCTCATTACTCTTCTGTGTAAGATAAGATAAGATAAGATAAGATAAGATAAGATAAGATAAGATAAGATAAGATAAGATAAGATAAGATAAGATAA